CCTCTATATCTATTTCATCTATCATCTATTTACCTATCTATATTTGAGATAGGGTTTTGTTAGTAGCCAAGGCTGGCCTTGAACTTCCATGCTCATGCCTTAGCCTCCTAAGTACTGGGATTAAAGGCATGCACTACCCATCCTAGGCTGTGACCCATCATAGGCCACCTGTGCCCTGGGTTACATCTGTTCTTGGCACCTAGTCTGCGGTAGCTACTCTCTTACTTCCTGTGGGGACAAGAGTCATATGAACACATGGCCCCAACCTGCTCTCCACACAGCACAAAGACCCCAAGGGACAGTTTCTCCAGCAGCCATGCTGTCATTTTATCTGGAGGAGTCCTCCAATGGTGGGGTAAAAAATAGGTGTGTGTGAAGTCACCGCAAGAGCTGAGACACACGCCCCAGGGGCTTAGCGCTCCACCTCCACTTTTGCTGTCTAAGAAAACCTAGCCTTGCCGGGTGCTAGTGGCTCATGCCTGTAATCCTAGCTACTCAGGAGGCTGAGATCTGAGGATCACAGTTCAAAGCAAGTCCAGGAAGGAAAGTCCATGAGACTCTTATCTCCAATTAACTACCAGAAAACCAGAAGTGGTGCTATGGCTCACGTGGTAGAGCTGAAGAGCTGAGGGACAGAGCCCAGGCCCAGACCCAGAAGAAGAAAGAAAACCTAGTCTTCATCAACCAGGCTGCTGTCCAGCACAACTGACAATGGGAGGCCAAGGTCAGGTGACGCTGGAGGTCCACAGACTGGAGGCTGGGAGGCCGAGGTCAGGCCTTTGCCCCGGCCCTCCTCCTGCTTGCACATGGCCTCCTTGTTGCCCTCATGTGATCTTTCCATGGTCAGTAGGAGTGGTGGGTTAGAGGGGGGAAAGCGACATCCCTCTTCTCAGAAGGAAGGACACCACTGCTGTCCTGAGGCCCCCACAAACCCTAATTACCTGCCCCGGGCTCCAGATACCACAGCCAAAGAGATGCCAGCATTCGAGTTTGGGCGAGTGTGGGTCAGAGGTGAATGCCCTCTCCTCCCTGCCCAGCCTTAACCCTGTTAACAGCTGGCTTTTGGATTGCCGTAGAGCTGCCAAGCCTCTAACCACACTTATAGGGGAAATGATTAAAACCCAACAAAAGAACGAATTCAGTTCCTTGTCTGGCCTCATTTCAGACGCCGCTAGTACATAGCACAGGTGCAGGCTCAGACCAACGATGCAGGCCCCACTGCGCAGGCGCAGGGTGCACTCATGGCGCAGGTGCAGACCTCATGGCGCAGGCCACGCCTCCCCCCCCCCCCCCACAGGCGCGTGGCGCAGATCTGCGCAGACCCCACGGCGCAGGCGCACAGCTTCACCATCACTGCGGCAAGTTCTACCCCACGGAGCTGCTTAGCGGTGGCAAGCTGAACCCCACATGACCCCCAGCTGACTCTCAGGCTCCTTCGTGCTGTCACGCCCTGTGGCTTTAGGAGACTATTACGTAACCAGAGGAGATCGTCCCCGTGACCTTCTGGTGACCTTCAGGAGGAAGTTTGAGCCCAGGCAGCAGCTGCTAGCACACACCAAGGTGACCCCAGGTGGGGCAGGCAGGGCTGGGGGAGGGTGAGCCGTGTCAGGAGCTTCAGCCCACAGGAAGCTCCCTCAGGGCCAGCAGCCCCAGGCCCGCTCGGCCTGGCCAGGATGACACAGTGAAATGGTTCCACCTGTCCAGGCACAGACACCACAGGTGAAGTGGGTCACACCTCACCGATGAAAACAGCTCCAGGTAGGCACCCACAGGGGCCATGCTGCCCTCTCCCCCTCAGTCACCATGTGGCTTGTGATGATGTGTTTTTGTCATTCATAGCCAGGCCTGTTGGCTCTGTTAAGAAAATATAAACCAGAGCCAGCACCAGTGGCTCACAAATCAATCCTAGCTACTCGGAAGGCTGATACCCCTGGACTGGGGTTCAAATACAGCGCAGGTAGGAAGATCCATGAGACTCTTTGTTTTTGTTTTGTGTGTGTGTGTGTGTGTGTTTTATTTTTTGTTGGTTGTGGGGCTTGAACTCTGGGCTTGGGCACTGTCCCTCAGCTCAAGGTGAGCGCTCTATCACTTGAGCCACAATGCCACTTCCAGTTTTCTGAGTAGTTTATTGGAGATAAGAGTCTCACAGACTTTTCTGCCTGGGCTGGCTTTGAACTATGATCGTCAGATCTGAGCCTCCTGAGTAGCTAGGATTACAGATGTGAGCCACTGGCACCCAGCAAAATCCATGAGACTCTTTATCTCTAACTACCAAAAAAAAAAGAAAATCCCACAAAACAGAGCTGTGGTTCAAGTGACAGAGTGCTAGTCTTGAGCAAAAAAGCTCAGGGATAGTATGCAGTAAGTCCTGAGTTCAAGTTCCAATACTGCTCCCCTCCCACTTCCTCAAAAAAGAAAGTAAGTCAGGGTAAAGACAAGAGGTCCCTGGGGAGGAACAGCAGGAAACATATTTGAAGAAACAAATCTGTTGAAAGCTATAGATCCACAGATCTAAGAAACTCACGGAACCCAGAGTTCTAGGAAGGAAACAGCACTGGAGTACCCACGCTAAAGCAAAGGAAACCAAGTAACTGGGGATCTCAGCCCAGGGCCATCTCCTCATGGATGACTCATGGGTGAACTGGCTGTTGTCATGGTAACAGGTGAAATGACAGACTGATGATAATCCATTTACATTTGCAAAAAGAAGTTCCGCATGGGTTCACAGGAACTATGCCTAGTGGTTAATTGCTCCGGCTCAGGGACTGGGGAAGGGGGGGGGGGGGGGGGCGTGCAGGCCTGTAGCCAGAGCAGCGGGAGAAAGATTTCTATAGATGTTTGGGGGTTTCACCGGCTTGCAAAATTAATGTGAAAGAGGAGTAAGGCTTAATGAGTGTTATTAGCAGTGACATGTATGGGAAGGGGGAAAACAGGAAGGTGATGGACAGTGAGCGTAGCGCTTCCTTTTGAGGTAACAGGAACCCCAGAAAATTAGTGGTGGTGGTGAATATATTCTAAATGATGGAACTGAGCACTTTAAAAGAGTGAAGCTCATAGCTGGTCCACTATGTCAGTAAAAATAAGTAAATTACCAGTGATACACACCTGTAAGTCTCAGGAGGCTGAGATCTGAGGATCGAGGTTTGATGCCAGGTCAGGCAGAAAAATCTCCAAGACTTAATTCCAATTAACCAGCAAAAAGTTGGAAGTGGAGCTGTGTGTGGCTCAAGTGGTAGAGCACACCAGTCTTGAGTGAAAAAGCCAAGTGAGAGTGAAAGGTCCTGAATTCAAGCCCCAGTACTGGCATGAAAGAGAAAGAAAGGAAGGAAGGAGAAGGAAGGAAGGAAGGAAGGAAGGAAGGAAGGAAGGAAATTTGAACAGGAAAAAACAGTAAGGAAAAGAGTTCTACTATGAAAACAAGTAAGGATTCAAAGATTTTTAACACTTTAACACTGAAAGGAACTAAACATTACATCCAGGCTCCTTGGTATGAATAGGGTGGAGGGAGGGTCTCTCAGAAACTACCATCTTGAAGAGTCAAAGTAATCTGCAAATAATCCAGGAGGACTTCTCTTCCCTCCACAGCAAGCGCCTATCACTCAACCCCTGATTTGACCTTGATCTTCCCCAACCCCATTTTCCTCATGGAGCATGCATTACCTTTACAGCTGAAGAACAAATGCCAGGAGTGTTCAGTGGCTTGTCCAATGACACACAGCATACCGGTTCCAGAGATGGTACTAGATTTCATGAATCTGACACAGTTTACATCATAAATTCAACACAAACTGGCCTGGGAGGTGTATAGCTGAGATCCCCAGTAATAAACTCCCTCTTCTAGAACTGATTTTCTTTATCTGGTGGTCCTGGGGTTTAAACTCTGGGCCTTGCCCTTGGTAAGCAGACACTCTACTACTTGGCCCATGGCCACAGTTCTTGATTTTCTTAAACCCCCTCCAGTGCTCCCAAAGGTCTCCCTCATCCCCTGAATTCTAAGTTTCCTACCTCTCCTCTGTGGTGCTTTAACTAGGGGAGCCTGATCCTGCCTCAGGGCCTTTGTATATGCTGTTCTTGCCTGGAGTGCCAGTCCCCAACCCCCCACACGGCTAATTAGGCTTTCCATGAGATTACTGTCAATCCTCACCCCTCCCCTGGTCATGCCCAGGGTGACACTTTGATTGTGCCACTCACATGCTTTTTGGAAAGTCTCTCCCTGAAGAAACTGATTGGTGGCTTCTGGGTCCTAGTGCCTAAAACAGCTGGCGCTCAGTAAGTAACATAAAATAGCAAACGAATGAATGAATTCGGCGAATGGTAAACTGGCTGCACAAATCATGTCCCTGGTGCACTGGGGGAGGGGAGGCCTGTCAGAAGCAGGGAGTTCAGCCTCCAGCCTTAGAAGCTCAGGTGCAAGCTCAAATGCAAGGTCAAGTCCAGTCCTCACAATGCTTTACTACCAGGACTGGTACAGACACTCCTTGCTTAAAGACGAGTCAGCTTTTACCCTCCAGCACTCAGGAAAGCTACCAGCAGAGAAACATGGGAGATGGCAGGGTCCAGGGTGCCGGCTTTGTGCCGACCTGGGGGTTAAGACCGACCTGGGGGTTAAGACCCTCCCACAAGAAACAAGGCTAGCTTTTTCTTCCTTTTGTTCTGCCAGTACTGGGGCTTGAACTTAGCACCTCCCACTCCTGCTTGGCTTTTTCCACTCAAGGCTAATGAATTGCCCACAGGAGCCAGCCTCCACTTCCAAGACTCACTGCCACTACCCTAGTAGAATGGAAACCCCTCCTCCTGCCATGGGGCAAATCCTCTGACTACCCGGTCTGAAGTCTGGAATCAGTGCATCTGCTGCTGCTCCACAGCGGGAGACAGAGCCGGCACACAGTCCATGTTCAGGAAACCTGCGGAGCAGTGACTGGGTGGAGGAGTGAGCAGGCTTCCACCCTGGGTGTGTGTGGGGGTGCGGGGAAGGCAGGCAGGGGGCCGCCCACACTGACCGTGCATCTGGTAGGCGTACGGGCCCTGTCCGGCAGGCGTGGTGCTGAAGCTCGAGCCGTAGCTGAGGAAGCTGCCCTGGCTAGGGGAATGGTTCAAGCTGTCTTCTGTCTTGATGCCTGGGAGGGAGGAAAAAGAGGCATGGAGGACACACGCTGGGATTTTTCCTTGAACCTGCAGAAGAGATGCTGAGCGTATGGAGCACACATCATCAGCTGTCAAACCAGCGTAACCAGAGACCCAAGGTTACCCTGCAGCCACATTTTGCTTGGCCTGTGATGTGTGTGTATGTAAGTGAGTATGTATATATGTATCTGTCTGTCTGTCTACCTATCTATCTTTGGTGGTGCTAGGATTGGAATATATTGTTCAATGGGTGCTCCACCATCTGAACCACACCACCAGCCCTGCTTTTTGCTTGTGTACGTGCACGTGCCAGTACTGGAGCTTGAACTCAGGGTGTTGAGCTCTTGCTTGGCTTTTTCCATCAAGATGAACTCCACCACTCCAGCCACTCCTCCATTTTTGGCTTTTGGCTGGTTAATTAGAGACAAGAGTTTCATAGATTGGTCTTTCCAGACTGGCTTTGGATCACAATCCTCAGATATCAGCCTCCTCAGACCGGAGCCACTGGCGTCCGGCTGGCTTGTGTGACATCACCAGTAACGAGTCCCATCTTCATTGCAACTGTACTTGAAAAACATTTAGACTTACAATTTTGTTCTGTTCCTCATTCATTCATTCATTCATTTAACATTCCAGGACACTGTGAAAAGTGGGGGAGGGTAGGATGGGCCAAGAGCGCCTCATACTTTGTGTCTCACAACCCAAGGGTATATCTCCCGTGAGATGCCAGGGTTTGTCTTATTTTGTCATGAGCAATAAAATTGCTTCATCAAAGGGTACAGATGGGGCTGGGCATGATGATTCATGCCTGTAATCCCAGCTATGCAAGAGAACAGAGATAGAAAGACTGTGGTTCAAGGAGAAAAAAAGTAGTGAGATCCTACTTCATAAGATAAGCTGGGATGGAGGGGCTGCGTCTCCTAGCACGGCACCTGCACCCCCACACAGCCCACAGTCTGCATGCAGGGGTGCCATGGGTACCCAGCTGGTGAGGGAAGAGGGGAAGGGAGTTGAACATCTTGCCTCTCCTTTTGCGGGGTGAGGAGTTGCATCCTAAAGTTCCACCCATGGAAGAGGAGAGAGGAGGACACAAAGGGCTTTGTCCCGAGACAGCAGTGACCGTGACTCGAGGGCCGGGCAGAGTTCACCAGGAGAAAGGGCCGTGGTGCTGCATGGCCAAAACCCAGAGCACCCAGCTGACCGACAGGAGTCATGGCTGGCACAGGTGCGGAAGGCCCAGCTTGACACGTGTATTTTGGATGTCTTTAAAACTTTCATCCAAGGGCTGGGAAGGTGGCTCAGTGGTAGAGCGCTTGCCTTGCATGCCTGAGGCCCTGGGTTCGATTCCTCAGCACCACATAAGCAAAAAGAAAGAAGTCAGCAAGTCTTGCCGGGCGCTGGTGGCTCACGCCTGTAATCCTAGCTACTCAGGAGGCTGAGATCTGAGAATTGTGGTTCAAAGCCAGCCCGGGCAAGAGAGACCGTGAGACTCCTATCTCCAATAAACCACCAGAAAACCGGAAGTGGCGCTGTAGCTCAAGTGGTAGAGCGCTGGCCTTGAGCTGAAGAGCTGAGGGACAGCGCCCAGGCCAGAGTTCAAGCCCCACGACCGACAAAAAAAAAAAAAAAACTTTCATCCAGGGGCTGGGAAGGTGGCTCAGTGGTAGACTGCTTGCCTAGCATGCATGAAGCCCAGGATTCGATTCCTCAGTACCACATAAACAGAAAAAGCCACAAGTGGCGCTGTGGCTCAAGTGGTTGAGTGCTAGCCTTGAATAAAAGGAGCACAGGGACAGTGGCCAGGCCCCTGAGTTCAAAGCCACAGAAACCCTTTCATCCAATCCATTGACTTGATTTTCCTAAGGTGTCAGGCCCATGATAGATAGAAAGTCAAAAAAGCAAATGCTGGTCTTTCACAGCCCAGGAGAAACACGGAGGCCGAGGGGTCAGTGGGGCCCGGGGATGCTCTGGGCCTCAGGGGGACGACCATGAGCTCCCCACTGCCAGGCCAGGGCCACCTGCAGCTGCCCCTCCTCCACTGGGGCGCTTGGTGGGAGGGTGCATTCTGCAAGGGCACTCACTCACTCACTCACTCACTCATTCCCGCTTCCTTCCCTCCTTCCGATGGCCACCTCAACTCAGTGCCTGAAACATGAGGATACAGATTGCTTTTTTTTTCTTCATTCCCACCCTTTTCCCTCCTTTTCTTTTTTTTTCTTTTCTTTTCATGCCAGTCCTGAATTTGGGGCCTGGGCACTGTCCCTGAGCTTTTGTGCTCAAGGCCAGCACTCTACTACTTGAGCCATAGCTCCATTTCCATCTTTTCTGGTGGTTAACTAGAGATAAGAGTCTCACAAACTTTCCTGCCCTGGGTTATCTTCAAACCACAATCCTCAGATCTCAGCCTCCCGAGTAGTTAGGATTACAGGTGTGAGCCACCAGCACCAGGCTTCCTTATTTATTTTAGAGAAAGTCTCATTATGTAGTTTAGATTTCTCTTGAGCTGACTACTCTTGCCTCAACCCAGAATGCTGGGATTATTGGCATGTGCCACCATGCCCAGCTCAGAGATGGGATTGCAGCTGCAGACACCGCAGGCTGGCATTCTGGAGACAGAAGACACAGCAAAAAGCAGAAAAACACAGGGTAGGGCTGGGCCACACAATGCACTTAAAACGCTCAGTGCTCTGCTGCAGACACTAACACAATCTTCCAAATACAACTGAAGTTTGGGGGCTCCATGTATGGTGCAAAGAGAAACATTTCCCACCCAATTCTGTGCAAAAAAAGAAAAAAAAAGAGTTTGTGGATCCTGATTCAGGGAAAGAAATAAGACAGGTGCCCATGGCTCATGCCTATAATCCTAGCTACTCAGGAGGCTGAGATCTGATGATTGTGGTTCAAAGCCAGCCTGGGCAGAAAAGATTCTTTTTTTTTTTTTTTTTTTTTTAATTTTTGGTCAGTTGTGGGCCTGAACTCTGGGCCTGGGCACTGTCCCTTAGCTCTTCAGCTCAAGGCAAGTGCTCTACCACTTGAGCCATAACACCACTTCCGGCTTTTTCTGTTTATGTGGTGCTGAGGAATCGAACCCAGGGCCTCATGCATGCAAGGCAAGCACTACCACTGAGCCACCTTCCCAGCCCCTTAAATAGATACGTTTTCTTTTTTTCCCGTTGGTTGTGGGGTTGTTGGGCATGGGCGCTGTCTCTCAGCTCTTCAGCTCAAGGTCAGCGCTCTATCACTTGAGCCACAGCACCACTTCTAGAAAAGATTCTTTTCTTCAATAAATCACCAAAATGCCAGAAGTGGAGCTGTGGCTTAAGTAGTAGAGTGCTAGTTAGCCTTAAGCAAAAATAACCTCAGGGACATTGTCAAACCCCAATACTGTGGCATACATACATGCACGTACACAAGTACACACGTACACACACACAATTCAGGGGATGACCAACTTCCATGGCAGGGCAAGCTTATCTGTGGGGATCTATGGGTACCTCAGAGAAGAAAGAAAAGCCTTTATATTCTTTTGTAAATTGGGTAGTCAGCTCATTTGGACATTGACCTAGAAATTCTGGGTGTGGAAGCCTGGCTTCTGATAATCCCTTGTCAATCTGATGCTCTGAGAATTTCCTATGGGCTGGGCCCTGAGAGCTCTTCATCTAGGTGGGAGTCCAGGGGCCAAATCCTGGCCCCTTGCTTGTTTTGTACAAATAAAGTTTTATTGAAACATGGATGCACAGACATTGTCTGGCTGCTTTCATATTACCAGGCCTATGAAGTAGGAAGAGACAATAATGGCCTGCCAAGTGGGGAGTATTTATTATCAGCCCCTTTACTTTTGACAGCAATGATTTCATTTAGTCTTCATGACCCCCGTGGGGTATCAGAGTTAGTATTACTTCCATTGTATGAAAGATCAAGTTGAGGCCCAGGGTCTCAGGGCCAGCACTGGACGGGGTGGGATAGGAACTCCAGGCTGTGCACGCTAATCTGGGATCAGATGCTTCTAAAGTCACCCACACCATAAAAATGACTCTGTGCCAAATGAACTTCCATCTGATGCCTTGCTCTGTCTGGGAACAGGGCTAATTTCTGCTTTTATGTGAAAAATAATCCGGCTGCATTGTGCTTGGCTCTAGGCCAGGTGGGGGAAGGGCTCCTGTGAGTACCAGGAGGGGCACAGTCAGCAGGGCACTCACACCTGTTAGCCCAGGTCTGTCCTAGGTAATCCCCCAGGATTTATGGGGCGCACGTCCCTGCAGTGGGGAGCAACAGTTGGGGGCTCAGACGCTGGGATGAAATTCCATTGCTTCCTCTCCCCAGCTGGGTGACCTGGGGGGAGGTGTTTACCCTCTCTGGGCCTCGAGGAGGGTAACAGTGTGGGATTAGAGTCATTAGAGGACAAAAGGCAGAGGGACAGAAAGTCAACTCAGGTGACCCATGTCTGTTCATCTTCTCGATGGAGTCGCCCTTGGCTCCTTCCTGCTTCTGGCCAATCACTGCCCTGCCCTCCACCGGCCCTGCTCCTTTCCTCCCTGCACTCCTGCTCCCCCGCAGCACCTCCTCCCTGCAGAAGCGCCAGACACCTCTGAAAACCTAAACCAGCGCATGGCAGCTGCCCACAAGCCGCCAGTGGCTCCCGCCTCACCTGGAACGAACCCCACACCTTCCCCACGGCTTCCTAATCTCCCTCATGCCCAGCCACTGATCTCTTCGGATCTGCCCCGTTCCTGCCCTCTGCCTGGGTGTCCCCCTCCTGTGCCAGCTGTCTGTCACCTCTCCACTCTTGGTCCCAGGTCAGTGAGCGGCTATTATTTTATTTTGTTGGAAGCCAGGGCCTTGAGCATGCTGGGCAAGTGTTCTAGCCCTGAGCATTACCCCCGGGCCTAAGCTGCTCATTTAAAGGCCAGATCCTGGCCCTGGATTTGAAAATAAAACTTTTCTGCTATTGTTGGGATCTTTAGCCTTCTCTTATATATACATCAGGGTCTGAGGCTGAAAACACTTTAAACATTTATTTACTTGACAGGTACGGGTGGCTCATGCCTGTAATCTTAGCTACTCAGGAAACTGAGATCTGAGAATCACATTTCAAACCAACCTGAGCAGAAAAGTTCGGGAAACTCTTATTCCCAGTTAACCATGAAGAAAAGAAAGGGGGAGGAGGGAAGAGAGGGGAAAAAAAAGAAAGAAAAGAAAGGAGGAAAAAAAGTCAGAAGTGGAGGTGTGGCTCCAGTGGTAGAGAACCAGTTTTGAGTGAATAAAGCTAAGGGACAGTGCCCAGTCATTGGGTTCAAGCCCCAGTACTGTTACAAAACAAAACTCTCTTCCCCTAACTCTCTCTCTATATATACACACACATACATATATATGTATACATAGAACTGCATATATCTATGTATGTGTGTGTGTATATATATATATAGAGAGAGAGAGAGAGAGAGAGAGAAAGAGAAAGAGAAATGTATATCTACATTTTTTGTGTGTGAGGGTTTGCAAACTCCTGTCTTCCTGGGGCAAACAGAAGCTGGTGTTGAACTGAACAGCCCTGCCCTGGGCTACTGTTGACGCTGAGTTTAGGTTCTTTGCTCCCTGCTCATCTACTTATTTAAAAATATGGAGATTAGCTGGGTACCCGTGGCTCACGCCTGTAATCCTAGCTACTCAGGAGGCTGAGATCTGAGGATTGTGGTTCAAAGCCAGCCCAGACAGGAAAATCTGTGAGACTCTTATCTCCAATTAACCACCAGAAAATTGGAAGTGGTGCTGAAGCTCAAGTGGTAGAACACTTGCCTTGAGCTGAAGATCTGAGGGACAGCGTCCAAGCCCAGAGTTCAAGCCCCAAGACTGACAAAACAACAAACAAACAAACATGGATGTTGTGAACTAACATGTGAACATTTGCCATGCCCAAACTGGGAAGCAATTTTGAAAATACGAGATATATTTATGAAGCTAAAGAAACACCAAGGCCATGTCACCCATCATCCTTCCATTCAGGACTAGAAGCCTCCATTCTGGACTAGAAGCAGCAGGAAGGTGGCCTGCTCTGCCTCTCTGAGTGCTGTGTGCATTTGTGTCACCCAGTGCTGAATGAACAGGTGAGTTGTGAATGAATGGGTAAATTGTGAATGAGCGGGTACATTGTGAATGAAGGAATGAATTGTGAATGAATGGGTGAATTGTAAATGAACCAATGACTAAAGCAGAGTACAGAGGAAGAAGGGAAGAAAAAACAACATTCAGTTTCTGCACTCGAGCAACTCCAGACAATTGGAAAGATGAGATGAGTAAGTGATTTTTCCAGTAGTGGTGGTGGGGGGCACTGAGGCCAGGAGAAGTACAGTTTGATATCTCCCCAACCTGTGTTCCTCCTAGATGCCATGGGGGACCTGTTCTGGGGGACCTGGAGGTGTTAGGGCTGTGTGTGTGTGTGTGTGTATGTGTGTGTGTGTGTGTGTGTGTGTGTGTGTGTGTGTGTGTGTGTGTGTGTGTGTGTGTGTGTGTGTGTGTGTGTGTGTGTGTGTGTGTGTGTGTGTGTTATTGGAGATAAGAGTCTCATAGACCTTCCTGCCTGGGTTGGCTTTGAACTGAGTTCCTCAGATCTCAGCCTCCTGAGTAGCTAAGATTACAGGTGTGAGCCACTGGCACCCAGCTTTGCCATCACAGTGGAAACATATGCTGGAGACAGAAGCCCACACAAAGGGAAATGGAGGTTGACTTAGAACCATTGCTCAAGTGCCTAGATCCAACCCTGCCTGAAGCCAATACCCAGCTATGTAGGCAAGAAACTCCCTAGGTTCCCCACGGTGATTAGTCTGGGTTCTCTCCTTTGAGAGATGACCTCATCCGTAACCACAGGTTTCAGCCCCATGGCTCTCTCCTGATGGTCTTGCTCTGAACATTGTCACACGACCCAGGGTGGACGTACTGGGAAAGATGACCTCTTTCTCTTGGGACTGCTGATGGGAAAGGATGGCGACCGAGCCAGGGGTTGGCGGGTACTCACTGTAAGAAGGGATCCCGTAGGCTTGTACAGGAGGTGGGTAGGCTGCGTAAGGCGGGGCCTGCTGGATGCTGGCGCTGTACTGAGTCTGCCCATAGGCTGCCATGGCTGGGGAGGGCTGGCTGGGGAGGACACGGGGGCTCCGTCTGCATGGAAGGAGAGAGGGTTGAGTGGCTCGGCCCTGCCCAGCATCCCTTCTCCCAGATCCTGGGATCACTACCGCCACCACCACCACCACCACTACCACCACCACCACCGCCACCACCACCACCACCGCCACCACCACCACCACCACCGCCGTCCTTTAGATATTGATTTACTGCTTGTGGAACAGAGACCATTTCTGTGGTCATTAAACCCTAGTTCATGTCCTGCCTCTGGCTGGCAGCTCGAGGGCCCGGGTGCCCCATCCATCATGGAGCTCCTGATGGTCCTGTGTGGGGTGCTGGCTGCCATCCACTCTCTGTCCTCCCAGAAGACACTGGACCAGGAAGTGGGCTGGACCCAGGGGTCGTTAGGGACGATGGTAGCCGGGTCAGTAGAGCAGTGGGCCTCAGTGTTTCTGCTGAGGGTAGCCTGGTCCTCAGGAGGCAACGGTGTCTCTAGTGACCCACGAGGAGGCCAAGAAGGTCACACAGTCTGAGTGTCACTTACCTGACGTGCTTAGGACCACATGTGTTTTGGATTTGGGACATTTTTCCAGATTTGTGTTTTGTTTTGATTTTTCTTTCTAATTTCAGCACTGGGGGTTGAAACCCGGGCCTTCGCCTTGCGAGGTAGTGCTCTGCCATTTCACACACTCTCAGGCCTTTGGCTTTTAGTTCGTTGTTATTTATCCAGCTGGAGCCTCACACTCCACCAAGGCTAGCGCAGACAGTGATCATCCTACCTCTGCCCTCTGTAGCTAGGATTACAGGCATGCACCACCGTGCCTCAGGGGGTGGAGTCAAGGGGAGTGGGAGGTGGAGAACTGGGTCCTGGGGCCCTGCACGCCCCACCTCACCCTTGAGGGCATCCCGCATCAAAAGAACAAACCCAGGTATAAAAGGCCAGGACAGGCCAGGGTCTAGACCCCGTGGGCCGACTGGAAGGGCCCAGACCCCTCCATGAGGCCACTCCATAACCCAGATGCCAGGTGATGCCACTGTCTGGGGACAGTGGGAGCTGGCTTTACACTGGAGGCACGCCACTTGGTTTTCTGTGACGGCCACCCAGCATCGGCGCCTCAACTGCTAGGAGACATAGAAAAAGAGGGAGGCCTGAGCCTCCAGCAGCAAACTCCCAGGGGCCAAGGAAAGGGTTAAAGGGCTGCCTAAAGGGGAACAGCTTGGTGCCTTTACTGACTCCAGCTCTACAAGGAAGGCAGCAAAACAATGGCAAGGATTGTTGTGGTGGGACAGGACCTGGCTGCACTACTTGCCAATCATTTTAAAACCCTAGAACTCTCTCCTCCTTCCTCTACTTCAGCCAGACTTGACTTCCTGTCACCCTAAAGTGACTGTGTTCTGTGACCCTGTTCGAATGTCCCCAAACTGGAGGGAACTCAGGGCACAAATTCGGAGCACACTTGTCTGTGAGAAGGGACAGGTTGGAGAGCTGTGCACGCCCAATATATTACCATCAATCCAAAGGCAAGAGAACCAGGTGAGGGTAGCCTGTAATCCTAGCTTCTCAGGAGGCTGAAATCTGAGGGTTTTGGTTCAAAGCCAGCCTCAGCAGAAATATCTGTGAGACTCTCATCTCCAATTAATCACAGAAAAAGCCAGAAGTGGCTCTGTGGTTACGTGGGAGAGTGCTAGCCTTCAGCAAAAGGAGCTCAGAGATAGCACCCAGACCCAGAGTTCCAGCCCCCGGACCAGTAAAAAGAAAATAAAGGCAAGAGAAGGCCCGGTCTTGGTATACAACTTTAGGAAGGCTGAGGTGCCCTCAGCATACTTGGGGCAGGGACACACACCACCAGTTCAGCAAAGTGGCAGCCAGGGACCCTACCTGAGAGGTCACTCAAAGAGCCTGGCACAGCGCCGTGCCAGCTCAGTGTCTGCAGTTCCCTGCGGTCGCTGTGGGCAGTGAGGCTGGGTGAGACGGTCTCGTCTAACATTGCCCTGTACCTGGCAGGAGACGAAGGGACAGGGAGTTGGTTCATTATCATGCATGCTCACAAATGATCCTTAGTTCTCAAACTGATCACCGAAACCCTGCCTTCCCAGAGATGCTACCTAATAAACCTTTACCTCTCACCAAGGGACCTGAGGAATTAAGTCCTCCCCATGACAGTGCCCCATTTGATTCAAACGTCCCCCTTCTCCATTCTGGATTTTGTCATTAGAAAAGTGGTATCTGAGCCGGGTGCCGGTGGCTCACGCCTGTCATCCTAGCTACTCAGGAGGCTGAGATCTGAGGATCACAGTTCAAAGCCAGGCAGGCAGGAAAGTCCATGAGACTCTTATCTCCAATAAACCACTAGAAGACCGGAAGTGGCGCTGTGGCTCAAGTGGGAGAGCACTTGCCTTGAGCTAAAGAGCAGGGACAGCGCCCAAGCCCAGAGTTCAAGCCCCAGGACTGACAAAAAAAAAAAGGTATTTGAGTTTCTTTTAAACATCATTGACACGAACATCGGTGAACTGGGGACTCTGGAGGCAGGGCAGGTGGCACTGCTGGACCGGGAACGTTAGGGCTCCCAGGGGGCCAGGCAGCGGCTGGCTGTGGTGAAGGAAAGATGCCCAGTTACTGTCTGCACCGATGTCCCGGCATCTCCATGGGCCTCTTCCATGCAGTGCTAGTCCAGGGCCTCCACGGAGGCTGACCCCCAGATTCTGGCCATTGGCCATGGTGGGGATGGGGGGTAGGGGAGAAGGGGCGCAGATGCACCACAGCACTCCTCTTACTGTGCCCATGGTGGTTTGAGGGACAGCGTTTAGGGGGCACAGGCACCCCCAATCACACATACCCATGGTGGCTAAAACAGGAGACCAGCTTCCTCTCCATTCAGGGGAGATTCCCCAAGCCCCATCTCCTGCCCCCATTTTGTCAAGGACAAAGACACATGGGGCTCATTTATAAAAGCTTTCTCTCCCCTTCCCCCCCCCCCCCCCCCCCCCCCCGTTTTCACTGCTGTAAACCACTGCTACCTCCCTGCTCTGAGGATGGTTTTCTAAACCCCACCCTCAGGCCTCCTGCCGGGCCTGCCGCTCCATTATTTCTCCTTGTCACCACCCTGGTCCCCTGGGATGGGAGAAGCTTTGGGGGAGCCCCTGGCCTGGGCTAACAGCTGGGGGTGGGGGTGGGGCACTTCAAAGGCAGGGAGAGATCAGAAACAGATGGAGGGTCCCAGGTGGGTGGCCCCCTACCCTCCCCTTACCCCCCTCTCCCAAGCACCAGGCTACCTTGGCTGAGCATGGGGGCCCTGTCTGCTGGACGGGGAGGACAGATGGTCAGTAGGCTGGGAGGAGAGAGCTGACTCCCAGCATCCTCCAGGGTTAGGAAATCAAAGCCTGTTGGCAGTCACGGTGGGCCTCTGGATAGACAGCAGGTGAGGTCAGATCTGAAGGCTTCCGGCCACCCCTGTGGCTCCCAATTGAGTTCAGGGCAAAATACATCCTCGGGTGGCTGACTCCGGGGAGGGGCAGCATGACCACCTGCTCCCCCCCTTCCCAATTCACACATCCAGTCAACATGGCAACTTCACCACCATAGCCATGGCCCCGGCCCTCTCTTCCCTGGAGGGCTAACCAAGGCCTCCATACAGGACTTCCGGGGGCCACTCTCCCCTCGCTCCAGTTGGGTCTCTTGCTGTATGGCTGACAATCAAATCTGCATCCCCCCTTCAGCCCTTTGTGGGGCCTCAGATGGCCTCCCGTGGCTCTTACGTAGAAGGGAAGACTTCTGAGCTGGCTTAGCGCTGCCAACTCGGTGCCTGGCATCTTATGCCAACACCACTGGCCTTCTTCTCACCTCTGCCCCCTCCTGCCTCAGAGCCTTTGCACATGCTGTTCTTTCTGTCAGAACACCTGTCTTCCCTATCAGACTTCAAATTCCTCAGTGGTGCACCAGTGGCTCACATCTATAATCCTTGCTACTCAGGAAGCTGAGATCTGAAGATCACAACTGAAAGCTAGCCTGGGCAGAAGATTGTGAGATTTTTGTCTCCAGTTAACCAGTTAAAATAAATTCTGGAAGAGGGATGGGGGCTCAAGTGGTAGAGCATCTACTGTGATCTAAAAAGCTGAGGGCAAGTGCTCAGGCTCTGAGTTCATGCCTCGGTATTGGCACCAAAAATAAAATAATCTGGGCATCCATGCAATCCTACTCAGGAGGCTGAGATCTGAGAATCACGATTTGAAGCCAGCTTGGGCAGGAAAGTCCGTGAGACCCTTCTCTCCAATTAACTACCAGAAAATCAGAAGTGGCGCTGTGGCTCAAAGTGGTAGAGTGCTATCCATGAGTGAAAAGGCTCAGGGACAACAACCAGGCCCTGAGTTCAAGCCCAATGACCAGCAAAATAAATGAAATAAAATTCATCAATGGCAGCATTTGGTCTATTTTTAAAGCCTTGAATGAGATTTCCCAAATCTTCTAGAAGTCCCTTCAGAGTAGCTTCCACCCTGCCCAAGGTTTTTGCCTTTATTTTGGCAGTACCAAGGTTGGAAGTCACCCTTGCTAGCTAGGCTGGAGCCTGAGCCATGCCTCCAGCAACAGTGGCTTAATAAGTGTTTGTAGTATGAGCAATGGAGGAATAAACTCACTCAGAGCGCACGCCAGGCGCTGTGTGGTTGCTGCCATCCTCATCTTTTGGGACGCCATCCTGGTCCACATCACCTGCCCAGGAATGTGATCAGCATTGAGCCTTAGACCCTGCTAGCCTGAGCGCTGGGTGACACCAGCACACAGCCAGGAGAGTACATGGACGGTGGCTGCTGCCATCTCCCCCAGCTTTTATCTGTGAGATCGCTCGGCACTTCTCATTCTAGGACCTCTGTATTCTAGTGATGAAATGTCCTGCTGGTCCCTTTTTTACTGCTGCATAACACCTTAGATGCACCGCCTCAAGTCTGCTGCATCTTTATTCTCGTGACAAATTCCACAGCGACTGGACAGGCTTCCTGGTGCATTTGCCCGCAGTTTTCAGAAAGCAGATCCCCCAAAGTGAGAGAGCTGGGGTTCCCAGTGTACAAACTGTAGAAGGCACTTGCATGTTGCCTCTGGGAGGGGAGGGGCTCCTCTCATTTCTTTAGTCTATTTCCATTCTGATCTGAAAGTCAGGATCCAAAGCTCTCTGAAGAACACACAGCCTGCTCTCAAAGCTGCCCTGCTTTCCACCAGAGCCTGCCTTGGTCTCCCCAGCTGGACCATCAAGAATAGCAAGGTACCCCCTCCCTGCCAGGAGCCACCTTCAAGCCAGCACCCAGTGTGGGGTGACAATATGAGACCTCTTATCTTATTATCCCTCCCTCCCTTCCTCTATCCCTCCCTGCGTTTGAGCTCAGGGCCTGACAGTTGCTAGGCAGGAACTCTACCATTTGAGCCATACCCAGTACTTTTTTGCTTTATTTATTTTTCATGCAGGGTCACGTTTCTCCTCCCCACCCCCACTGCCCCATAACATTTTAGTCTTGATCTGCTTTTACCTAGGGCCTCTTGTATGGCTGTTATTCCAGTCATGCATCCCTATGCTTGGCTTATGATTGGCTTAAGAAAAATCTCCATGCAGTTTTAGGGGCTGTATATTCTGATGCATGTGCCAGCATTCTCTAGGCTTCCGGGGGCCCCTTCAAGCTGGGCCTAGTGTGTGGCATCAGGCTGGCACAGGGCCACACAGGCTTGCCAGGTGACAGGGGAGGAAGGGTTGGTGGGCCTTGAAGCAAAATGTAGAACTTTTATAGGATATTTCTCATGCAGAGCCATTAAACTCTCTCTCTCTCTCTCTCTCTCTCTCTCCTTTTCTTGCGAAGGGATGCCACACTGGCCCAGGACACCTGGGGACATCTCATGATCAGAGGCTGGAGAGCAGCCCAGGCCTGCCCACAGTGCCTATGAGGCACTCTGAACTCCAGGAGGCAGTGCTACCCTTCCCGTCCCTGCTGTGGGCCTCAAAGTCAGCCATTGTGATGACCCAGGACCCACAGCCTTGCTCTGAGGCTAAGGCACCACGAATTTTCATCATCAGGAAGAGGATGGGTGAGAGAGAAAGGAAATATCAGAAGAACTTCCTTGTGCCCAAATCCTCATCTGTACTCCAGGAAGCCCATACTACCACAAAAGCCACAGGAACCGCAGTGCCTTTAGCCAGGCACAGCTGTCCTCAGCCCCAGCTCTGGGGAGGCTGGGAGAATTTCTGCCCTGATTTAGAGAGAAGAAAGCAGAGGCAGGGAGTGGCAGGCTTTGGGGCCACCGTGAGCCTCAGGGTAGGAGTTAAAAACCACCATCTGACTCCACTCCGAAGCTTGGTGCCTCTAATGTTCAATGCCGCCATCTGCCACAGAGAGCAGCAGATGTCTTAAAATTAATCTCTCCTGTGACTGGCCTCCTCTGATTACATCACTCTGAACCCCAGCAGGGCCTGGGGGTGCCATGAGTGTTTCAACGTTTAGTCCTATTTCAGGTTGAACCGACCGTATGCCACGTTGTATGGTTTCATTTCCTTCTTTCTCACTTTTGTTAGAATGGTTTTGAGGTAAGAACTAGAACTCAGACTGAGTGTCTGTCACTCAGGCTGGACGAATTTCAGGAGTCTACACTGCATGGGCCTCTTCCAAGCTTTTTGGGTTATTTTTCTCTTTGCTAAAGTATTTTAAACACACTGAGACTAGTACTTAAACTTGGAAAGCTGCTAGTTTGGTTTTGGTTTATTTGTTGTTGTTGTTTTTAGATAAGATCTTACCATGTTGCCCAGACTGATCTTGAATTCACAATTCTCCCATTTCAGCCTTCTGAGTGCTGGGATTATGACAGGTGTGTACAACTGTATCTGGCTCTTATTCAATATATTTTATTACCATTTAAAAATATTCTGTGGAGCCAGACGCTGGTGGCTCACACCTGTAGTCCTAGCTATTCAGAGGCTGAGATCTGAGGATCCAGGTTTGAAGCCAGCCCAGGCAGAAAAGTCCAT